CAACTTCAGGAAAAATTATGTTCTTCTGAAAATCTTTCGCTCAATCTTAATATGACTCACATGGCCAAAAAGATTCCCCACCCCTGATCTTGACGGAGCAAGGTGTAACACACGTAACTAGGTAGGTCCAAGTTTCGAAACAGGTAAATGTTTTCAGAGGGTGACAGGGAAACGGAAATCCTCATTTAGACACGTGAACAAATTGAAACCTTCCTCCTAAAAATTTCCCTGTATTATTCGAGTACGTGTCGACTTCCTCATCCCAACCATGAAAATACTAATTTTTGAAGAAAAAAACAATAGAGGTGCAGGCAAAATGAGTTTAGGTCTGAAAACAGATTATTCCGGAAAAGAAGCGTTTGAAATCCCTACACCTCCTATCTATTAATAGTATATTTCTTTTGCACAGGGATTTTGCTCTTCCCAAGGAAGACTTGCAAGGCGAGGTAAGATTCATTCATAGCAAGGCATTCAACGTCACTTTGGAAACCCACTGACTCTCCTCGCCATCATTTTAGCTTTTTTAATAGCAGAGTAGCCTCCCAATTTTTTCGACACTTCTTTATTTGTCATCCCCATTTTCCAGGTAGAATCATGGAGTCCGGACAAGAAATAAGCCCATATTCCCTTTGAAAACCACGTACGAGAAGAAATAGACTTTATTGAATGGAGTTTCAGTAAAGAGATGTATTCGCAGTTCTGTCATCTGTGTCCTTAGGTCGAGAGAAGACTTCTCTCTGCCGAGGGAAGTGGACGTGCAATCCAGCGACATATGTGGGCCTGGGTAATCAATTATTTAGACGTGGCAGGAATACAAATGGAAGTACCCCTACCATGGGAAACCCCTTAATCGGTAATTGATTTACTCCAAAATGCTGCGCCAATATTAACCCCGGTCGCCTTTTCCGTCGTAATGCCTTGGTTTCGAAACCCAAAAAATCCGCCCCGAATCCTATAGATCAGGAGTCCTATAAGACCCTAAAGGGATCCTATAGGATCCTATAGGTTTTTCGTGTTTCAAAAACCTATAGGAAAGTCTATAGGTTTCCTATAAGAAATAACTATAGGTTCCCTTACGAAAATGTCTTATAGGATTCCTATATATTCCTAAAGGAATATATAGGAATCCTATAGGAACCTATATGCCTCATAGAGTTCAGTTTGGGACCTATAGAGTTCCCTATAGAACCTATAGATCCCCCAATAGAACCTAAAGGGTTCCCCATAAGGCCTATATGTTCCCTATAGGACCGAAAGGGTTCTGTATAGGACCCGTAGGGTTCCCTATAAAACCCATAGGGTTCCCTATAGGACCTGTAGGGTTCGCCATAGGACCTATAGAGTTCCCTATAGGGCCTATAGGGTCCCTATATGACCTATAAAACCTATAGGGTTCCCTATAGGGCCTATAGGGTCCCTATAGGGCTTATACGGAACCCTATAGGCCTATACGGCTCCGTTTGAAGTTCTCCTCTAATCCACAAGATGGAAGTATTGGGTTCGCCCATTACTCAAAGGGCACAAAAGTGCCCTCCCCTTACCCAAGGAAACATCTCTCAGAAGACAGTTTTGTACGTCCCCGAATGTCTCGCCTTGCCTCATTGTGGCAATCAATTAACTTTGACAGTTCCTTATTTGTCATNATAGGAAACCTATAGACTTTCCTATAGGTTTTTGAAACACGAAAAACCTATAGGATCCTATAGGATCCCTTTAGGGTCTTATAGGACTCCTGATCTATAGGATTCGGGGCGGATTTTTTGGGTTTCGAAACCAAGGCATTACGACGGAAAAGGCGACCGGGGTTAATATTGGCGCAGCATTTTGGAGTAAATCAATTACCGATTAAGGGGTTTCCCATGGTAGGGGTACTTCCATTTGTATTCCTGCCACGTCTAAATAATTGATTACCCAGGCCCACATATGTCGCTGGATTGCACGTCCACTTCCCTCGGCAGAGAGAAGTCTTCTCTCGACCTAAGGACACAGATGACAGAACTGCGAATACATCTCTTTACTGAAACTCCATTCAATAAAGTCTATTTCTTCTCGTACGTGGTTTTCAAAGGGAATATGGGCTTATTTCTTGTCCGGACTCCATGATTCTACCTGGAAAATGGGGATGACAAATAAAGAAGTGTCGAAGTTTATTGATTGCGACAATGAGGCAAGGCGAGACATTTGGGGATGTACAAAACTCTCTTGTGACAGAGCATTCCATGGGTAAGGGAAGGGCACTTTTGTGTCCTTTGAGAAATGCGACAACCCAATACCTCCATCTAGTGGCCTAGAGGAGAACTTCAAACGGAACCCTATTGGCTTATAGGGTTCCGTATAGGCCCTATAGGGTACCCTATAGGTTCTATAGGGAACCATATAGGTCCCAAACTGAACCCTATGGGGACTATAGGAATCCTATAATCCATTTTCGTAAGGGAAAGTACCTGTTGCTTAAGGGTCTTCGTTTCCCAATGACGGGGCTTGCACTCGGGAATAAATGCCTGATTTGTTTGGTTTCGAACCCTGTCTTAGGAGACAAGGGACTCGCCGACTGAGCCAATCCCAAGCCACATTGATAAGGAACTCCCTTGTTTGACGCCACAAGGATGCGCTTTCTTATGCTCCTCTCCGCACACGTTAATGAAGCGCCTATTACTCCAACCTTGTATATAATAACCTTGATTTTTCTTCTTTTTTTTTCTCCTAGGGACTGGAAGAATACGAATCCGATACCCTTTAAATTACTTAGTAGCTCGTTACTAATTAGCAAAAACCCACGGTTTTTGCATTACGAGGAGAATTCATTCGCCATTTCTATTGCACTCGTTTAACAACAGGTTAATGGTTCAATTTAAAATGAAAACAGATGGTAGTTTCTCGAAGGAAACCTTGGAATCTTTTTCAATGTCATCTGTCCATGCGTTCTACAGAACTTGGTTTTTATCGTGTTGTGTGAGCATGGCATGAGAAGGGCAACATCATCGCTGCACGATAAATGTCCTATCACTCGAGTCCTCTCGGTCGTTGGTGCAGTGGCACTTCGGTCACGTGCGATGCCTTTGGAAAGAGACATTTTCAGTGTTTTCTTATTCCAAAGAAGTTGGAAATTCTGGAGCCATCTGATCATTGTACGTCGGATGCTAAAATCATTGAAATCGATTGGCAATATCGCCTCCCCGTTATGGTTGCAAATTTTTTTTGCAAAACCATCGGATGAACAAATGAATGCCGATAATAAGTGAATCCGTTGTAGAAACTAATCGCAACCGATTCACAGCAAGACCCTTCCTTACGCGCGACACTGTGTCCAATCTCGTCGCAAAGCAAAAAGCGATCGTGTAGGCGCGCCTCACGCTACTTGCATTGCAGGTGAAAAAGGACAGAAAGGAAACGGGAGATGTGGAAGGCTCGACTCCGTTCTTCAAAGTCGGTTCGCGAAAAATGAGAATAACCCATGCGGAGGAAACGCGAGAGGAGGTGACCCCTTTGGTCAGTCGCCGCAGGGACACCTGCAGGACGGCGCACCATAGGGAAGGGTGCACCATAGGGAAGGACACCTGGAACACCTAGGACACCTGGAACGCCACCATCGTGGCGTTCCAGGTGTCCTAGCATATGAGAAGCCAAACGTCACACGTCCTCCTCCGTGTGGTTATAGAAATTCCACATCCTATGATAGGCCTAGATGGCGCACGAGTGACAGGGCATAGCATGGAATGTGGCGGGGACAGCGCACGCGGCGCGTGCCCTCGTGACCTCCTCCGTATGAGAATTCTTCCCCCAGAGAGACAACTTCCATGCAGACCTTTTATCTCTGTCCACCTGTTTTCCTCGCTTTTCTTTCCTCACGCCAGCCTGCGTTCGTTTTCCATCTTCCACACTCCTCATTGCGAAATCGAACGATTCTCTTCTTTCAGCCGCCGTCGTTCCCCTCCGTGATCGACTTCTACATTAAGGTCCGGTCCGTTATCTACCGGCTCCGCAATAAGTAAATTTCGTACCTGCCTCTTCGCGTCACCCTCTCGGACGAACTTCGCTTCGGCCCAAACTTCCCATTTAATCATCGCCACGCGCCTGTGATTCTCCCATTCGAGTTCTGTTTTGTAAATCATATTGTAACCGTGCAATCGACGCAGCAGACACGGCTAATGGACCATGCACGACGGAGAAAGCGCCGGATAATGTGAATCGCCCCTCTGGCTTTTTCTTTCTTTCCTCAATCGTGTGCCGCGACACAGATCTCGAGTCAGACGGCATCCAAACTCACGAACTCACCCTAGGCCTCCTGCTTCGATGATGTGAGACGGCTTCACGATCGCCTCGATCATGCCCTAGTTCACGCTCAGAAGTTAGAATTGCACCAACTCTAACCTAGGACCTAGGATATTTTCAATCCCACCTCGAGGAAGGGAAGCAAAAGCCGTGATTATCCTCGCCGATTGGACTCGGCAACTTGCACCTCGCCGTGCCACGCAGGCCCACTCTCGACTCGCTGCCACGAAGTACGCCTCATGGAAGTGTTGCTGATGACAAGCCACCAGATGTCTCTGTAATATTTCCCCCCCAACCCCTTCCCTTGGAGTGTCGCCTCTAGTCTAGGAGGCGCCGCGCATGCGCACATAGTGCTTGTGGACATACAAACGCCCAAGCATAATATTGGGTGTTCGTATTTAAGCGCAACATAGGGACATTTTTTGCCCCCTGTTTCTTGAGTTCAGCGCGTGCCCTATAACTCACCGGGTTGCATATCTGGAAGTATGAAATCTTTTATTGGCGTGTTTCCTTGCAGAGAGGCAACCCGGTTGGCCACATAACGTTCGCCGACCTCCACCTACAGGCGGCAAAATATTGACTATGTTGCTTTTAAATACGAATACCCTGTATATCGATAGAAGCTTGAAGTTACATAGTAATGAAGATACAAGGTCGTCTTCTACTCTGTCGTGCTTATTGATGTTTTTACATCCAGGCACATAACATAAACTCTGATTTCGGGGTGATCCCGTTTCAATTTTATTTAAGACGCCGTGAAAGGTCTTCCTTGCAAACAAAGGAGAAGGTATTATCTCCTGGGGAATCGTGCCAGGTACTGATGATGATGGTGCCGCAGTCCTTTCCCGCATCCTCGAGAGGGTAACCCGGGGCCCAGTTGTTCAATTCGGACGTGGTGTCGTCGACCCAGCCCCAGGTCGATCCTTGCTTCTCGATCCCGATCCAAATATTCACTTCCTCGTTCAGCTCCTGTCCGTTTAAGACGGAAGCGACGACGTCAGTGTAATCCACGTCTTCGGGCACCGTCAGAAGCGCCGAAGGAGGGCTCGTGTTCTCGCAGTAATTAACGGCGGAATCGAACACGCGGACGTCGTTCACGACGAGGTAGCAATCGGAACCCTCCTGGATCCAAGTCGAATCCGGGCATTCGTCCGCCCGAAGACGGCAGACGAAGGACTTGAATAGGCGACAATCGTCGTTGCCCCATTGATCCTTCCACATGACCGCATAATCGTCATCGAAGGGGGGATTTTGGTTGAAGTTGTCGTAGTCGAAGGGGCTTCCGTCCAACCATTCCCAATCGGAGCCTTGTCTCTGAAGGCCGATCCACAGCGGAGCAGTTTGGGCCAGACTTGCTGCGTTCCAGAAATATGCATTTATTAATTTTTTGAATTATTTGGAGAATACGCGACCAGAAGAAATAGCTTAGGGTCATTATTGTTCTCACCCATTTGTTTTCCATCTTTAGTCCTTACTAAGACCATAAATTTCGGTAGAGATGGTACTTAGTTCCATTAGTGAAAAAATCTAATTATGTAACTACGAAGGATGTCGCGATACCCCAGTTGATTTTTTGCATTTTTCCTCTCAACTTCAGAAATTCCCGACTTCGAACCTTTTGCTCGCTTCGTGCCCAGTTGGACACAAGGACTGACAACTGATTTAAATTAATTTTTCTTGGATGAGACATTTTTCCTGGAGCAGAAGATCCACCCACACATTGTTGACTCACAACAACCGCTGATAATAAATAATAGCATAATTATAACAGATATCATCTAGAAAAGGTATTGAAATCATCAATTGACTGACATATTGGGTGACATTAATGTTTTCATAATGAACTTGAGAAAACGGACAGAAAACATTTGTTTGAAAGCGATCAATAGACTTAATTTTATTAATTCATCCCTCTCCGTCCATCCAGATTTTTACTCATAGACAGCCATGATCAGAGGCTCATCCTAAGACAATCTACAGATCATGACGCTGATGGTCGCTTGGAAGAACCCGTCACTAGCTGCCTCAATCTGCGTACACCAGACATGATGGGAAATGTGAATATCAGTCCCTGACTTTCGTTCCATGAATTAATGGTAGAAAAACCTCAGGAAAGAGAGTTCTCGTTGAGACCCTCGCGAAGAGAGAACGAAGTTTTCTCGGTGAGAATTGACCGCAAAATGATTTTTAATCTTTCCTCGTTATGGATAAGAAAATACCTCAACTTCGTGCTTTTCCAGCCGCTGCTTAAAATTCTTCATGTTAATGGTTTGTCTAATTAACTATGGGCAAGAAATTGACCTAAATTTTAAAAATTCAGACCGATATGTGAATTTTCATCGCCGCCGTGAATGCTGGCGAGGTTCCCGCCGATCGCCTCGCAGTCGAGCTGAGCATCGGGTGCAGATTTCGGCTCGTTGAAGTAGGCGTAGCACTGTCCGTCGTGCGGTTCCCAGCCGGCACTTACGTCGCACGGCTGCAAGAAGGACTCGTACTCCGCATAGAATCCTCTAATTTCAGAAACATGATTTCGGGGTTGAGCAACACTCTTTCAAATAATCTCAGCATCAAACCATATCCTAAAGCTGAATTTGTAGTTGAAAAGCATAACACTAGACCAAAGGAAGGCATGCGCTTCACTTACCTATATGTGAAGGAGCTATCAGATTCGAACGTGACCTGAATGTTATGGTATAGGAACGTTAACGGGCCGAGAGATCCCAACAGTCCAGTATGGGACTCGGATTCGCCCGTACCGAGATCGGTGATGGTGACGTAATCCCACCCACTCTCGAGTTCGAAATCGAGGAACGTCAACTCGATCCCGTTACCTTCTCCCACGTCGATTTCATATACACAGAAGGAGTTGTCGTCGTAATTATCAGGATAATTGGGTGATGAGAAGTTTCCCGAAGGTGCTGTGAAGTCTCCGCCGCACTGGCCATCCACCGATGACCACTGCAAGCAGACGAGTAGCAACAGGCTAACGAAGTACGCTTGGGCTGCCATCCTCCTTCTTTCCTCCCGGCCTACACCGAGGTGCTTTATATATGCTCGAGGGGAGAAATCGGAATGATACCATCTGGTATTCCCCTATAGAGATACAGCAAAACAAAAACTTTCTCGGGAGTTAGTATTTCTGAAATGACGTGTCCTCCTCGCGCATGGGAACGTTATCCGGTGCTGCCTATTCCCTGTCTCTTGATTGGTCTTCTATATTTCGAGTCTGCATTAGGCAATATTTCCTGCCACAAGTGCTTGTATTCACGAGGGAGACAGAATCACGGGAGTCACGTTATAGCCACGGTCTGACGTCGTGGCAGGAGGTACCAGTACTGATTCCAGCTTCATCGCGTCAGTTCCAAAATGCAAGGTCCGACATCGCATCGTATCTTGAATGAAGCTCCGCTCCGTTATGATGTTTTCACGAAGTGACGGTTCAAATTCCCGATGAAATAAGAAGATCGAACTGCAGAGTATCTCCTCTAACTCTTTTAGTACTAGGGAAATGACATGTCGTCGTTTTAAACCGACAAATCGGCTGCGTGGCACTTAAAGTGTTAAAATACACACGAGTTTTTAAAATACACAGGAGACCTCTCCTTTGGTCAATAATTACCTGGTCTTAGAATATTTTTCGATTATGATCGAAATATCATGATGACTCGATCTGGGTCTTAGTATCGAACCCAAATATCAGATAACTCGCTCATCGCAATGATGATAACTGACGAGCGTGGCCAGGCATTCTTCGAAAATGGAAATGTGAGGGACAAAGCCATCTGAATGTCCGATGGCCAGGAAAACGGCCGGAGATGACCGGATTTGTCCGTGGTGAAGGTAGATGCCGCTCTCAATTGCGATTTCGGACTAAGAATGAAAATTCGATCAATTATATGGAGGCTATCGAGTTGCGATGATATTCCGATCTTGACCGAAAAATATACTTAGACCGGGTAAATGGCACAGCCTCGTAGCCCTAACGCGCACGGTTTTCTTTCGGTTTCTGGCATTTTTCCACGATGCGGCGACTCGTTTCGGTTCCGACGCGGGGAAGCGTTCCAGCTGCGGATTCTCTCGGGGAAAACTGCGGGAAAACAGGAACGACGCATCGATTCTTTCGGAGACCGTGAAATTCTGCACCAAAATTGGTGCACCAAATTTGCGAAGATTTCCGGGAATGATTTGCAATGAGGTCTCGGAGAGAAGCGACGGTAATTTGCTCCAGTTCCGGTTGGCAAAGGAGTCAGCTTGGATTATTCCCTCGTTCGAGGAACTTTCCAGAAACTCATTTCATCGTTATTCATCATTATGAGGAAGAATTAATCCGCTGCAATCCATTAATTCACACTTCGACCAACGGCAATATCATGCGGAAAATTTTCCCAAAATAGAATTGGAGACATTCTTCTGACAGGATATTCGATGATCATTATTATCGTTCAAATTCGTCCTGAAATCGCAGACGGATCGGGGAAATTTCGCTGCCAGAAGAATGCCATGGGAAAATATTGGCAACGATCCCGAAGAAAAACCGCCAAAAGCACGACTTTGCAGTTTTGGACGGTGGAAATGGGAAGACCGAGGAGACGGAAACGACGATGCCGTGATTTGAAAGTTATTTAACCATGCCATAATTTAAACACACGTGTCGTCCAGATGCGAACTTCCTGGGGGAAATGAGAAAACAATTTCATCGCGCCTCTCATTCTCGCTTATCTCGAGCGGGGAAAGCCCAACAAGAAAACAAAATTATTTTATTATTTTTTTTAAATTGGCGTGGGCCGCAAATGTGGGAAAGCGCCGGCTGGCCGCTCCCCGCGGATTGCGCCACTCGAAACAACATATTCCTTTTTTTTTATTATTTAATAAATCCAGTTCAACATTCGTGGCATTATTGCAACTGTGATTATGCTAATTGATTCGATCTGGAGGAAATGCTCCAGGGCGGACTCGGACGAGCGAGATTTTCGGACTGGTCCCGCCCCCGGAGGAGAATTTCAGGCATTTTTTTTTTTCTACTGCCAAAAAGAGCTGAAAAGTGCGGAAGACATAACACGGAAAGAGTGGCAGAGCAGCATAGATCCATTCACCTCCCATTCCCACAAAGCAGGTGCGACCTGAGTTGCCTCGTGGCAATTCTGACACATTTCAAGGACGATTTGAACAGCAGGAAACTTCGCAAGGCGCGTTGAGGAGTTTGTAGCCCCGCTTAAACCCTAACATTCGATGATTCGGGGCGAAGGAATTGGAAGATACGAATGGTTCCCGGAGACGATGAACAGACTGGAGCCAAATAGGAATCTGTCAGAGGTGAAAGGATCGAAATGAAAATTCGAATGGACAAGATTAAGACTCGTTTGGAATATTCTAAAGAACTTCCTTACTACCTGGATAATTTGCTTTCCGTAAGCATTTATTTCCCGTATGCGCGCATGCAGAATGACGTCACAAGGACGCGCTTGAAAGGGACTGCGGGGTCACTCGGCTCACTCTTCCCTTCAATTCCGGGCAGAAAGACTTCCTCTCTTCCTCTTCGCTGTCCTCCCCGAGCGCACAGTCTTCCCCTGTGCTCTGCGCTCTCCCCGACTTCCCTATCCTCTTCTCTCTTCTCTCATCCATTGGATTTGCCTCGTTGGAGTCGCTCTTAGCTTCTCGCTATTTTCTCTCACCGGCGACTTTTTCCATTCAACCGCACGTATCGGGGCAATTAAGTCATCAATGCCGGAATGAAGGCATTAGGGGGGAAATACCCTCACTTGCTTCATTGGCAGTCCGGTACTTTATCCGGACACGGGCTTCATCCTCATTCATGAGGATGAAATTTTTTACCGTGGAAAATGCTTAATGGCTATGCAGGGTCAGAGAAAAACGCAGAAAAAAAAGAGTGAAAATTTTGTCTTCTTGACGGAGCAAGCATCGACAAGCAGGCCCAAGTTTCGAGACAGATAAATCCCATTCGGCACAACAACGTTGTGTCAACGTTGAGAAAAGGTTGATGGCAATGTTGCCTCAATGTTGAGAAAAGGTTGACTTTTCAACGTAACATGTTGCCACGATGTTGCCACGATGTTGAAATGAAACTCAGCTCAACCTTGAAAAGTTGATGCCATGCGACGTTGTGTCAACGTTGAATTTTCAACGTAAGGGCATTATAGCACCTCCTCCCTATTCCAGGGTTTGAATGAGCTTTGATTGTCGGATGAAATTGAATATGGACTCGATAACTCCATAGATGGTTCCCAAGAGGTGTGGTACTAGCAGTACTCTACCGAGTACGATCATCCCACGTAAAGGACCCTCAGAGTTTTATTTCCTCTACTGAATGAGAATTCACATTGAGGACTTGCATGACTCAAGTACCTCGCGGGCATGGTTTTTAAACACTATCCATCATGGATGAGTCCGCGTAAAGGCCTGTGCCAAGTGGGATGATTGTACTCGGTAGGGTACTGCTAGTATCATACCTCTTGGGAACCATCTATGGAGTTATCGAGTCCATATTCATCCGACAATCAAAGCTCATTCAAACCCTGGAATAGTATGTACGTTAGTTTGATGTCTTCTCAGTCTCATCATTCCGATCGGCACGACTACGTTGCGTCAACATCGACCAAATATTATTTTGAGACATGGTTGAAGTTGAACACTCAGCGAAGAATCAACAATGAAATTCCGGGGGTCTTCGTAATTAACTGCATTTTCAGCTTATAGGAACTATTCGAGGGTAGGAGTTTCGAGGCAATTAAATGCAAATTCGTTCTCGGAATGAAATTGAGCGTTCCCAAAACAAAGGTCATAGTCCTCTCGAGAAATCCTATACAGTGCGCCTGACATGTTAGAGAAGTCCTACTGGAACAGGTGGGGAAGTTTAAGCATCTCGGGTTTGGTTCTGGAGTGACGGGCGATACGGAAATGAGATCGATGGTTGCATCTTCAGGGCTTCCGCAATCCGGAACTCTGGAGGGTGGAGTGGTTGCCAAATATCAAATTTCCAAGTACTGTAGGTGAAACTCGGTTTTTAAGATCGTTTACCCCCCCCCCCCCATCCTCACATATGTCACGAACTGTGGGTGTGGGTAGTGTTCCTGTGAAGGAGATAAATCTGAGGGTGATACGAGAAATTCCCTTGAAAATGATGCCAGACTCGTAGCACCATTGTTGGACAGAACCTTTTGAGTCACTCAAAAATTAATCAAGGATTCTGATTCAGCAAACCAAGTCATAGCCCACATGGAATCAATCGTAGTACTTGCTAGAGTGCATTCAAACTCTCAAAAGTAAAGCAGAAGATTCCAACGATGATCGTAATGACATGAGCACATCTTCAATAACAGGAAAAGCAGGAGGAAATGCTAAGACGCTGACCCAAGTGACATGCGTTTTTTCAACGTTGAACGTCGTTTCATTTCGACATTCTGGTAACATAAAATGAACTTTTACATAACGTCGTGGCCATTGTTCCAACGAGGAAAAATCGATCTTCGCTCGACGTTGACCCAACGTTGTTGTGCCCAATGGCATATTTTGACTGAAGAGTCCGGGGGGGGGGGGGGGCCTAGGGCAGCAGAGCGAGGGTGCCAAATCTCACCCAAGCGATATCATATGAGAAAAATATTACATCTAAGGGGTGCCAAGCACTCTATCTCAGGGCCCCCCCCCCCCCCCCCCCCGCCCTCCTTGCCCCCCATAAAATAAACCACTGGTTGTGCCGAATGGAAAATATGTACAGATCCATCTCAAAATGAATAGCAAAAATATGAAACATTAAGAGATACAATATCTTTCACTCCTTGTGTCCTGATACGAAGAATATAAATTGGATCCTACGACGGAGGAGTCCGGGAAAGAAGGAATTCTCACATCGATTCGTCTGGGGTTCAGCTACAGAGGTCAAGGTCATCCTATTGTTTCCCGTGCATCCAAGACTAAAAGGTAAATACAGACCCTGGACATAACATTGAATCAACATTGATTCAATGCTATGTGCTACTAGGGGAGATATACCTCGTGTAGAATTTCTAAAGGAACGGAATGGGCCGGAAGCATCAGTCGGAGGGCCATTCACTAACTGCATTTCGACGAGCATTAAGTTCTCTCGATTGGTGTTCTGGATTGGGGATTCCACGGAGATTCCATCGGGGAAAGTGCAGGAACGCTCGTCTCTTCCAATCTCGGAGAAGCATGGCAATGGCCCCATTCAGATGAGGGATTTCCAACCGACGTGGCTCGTGGAAATGGGAGGGCTTTCTCCATTTAGCATTTTTGGGGGGAAGTGATGAAGTACTGTCGCATTGTATCATTCTCGGACTGAGACGCCTGCATTTTCTGGTGCGTGGAGATTCAGCCGGCTCGGGACTTCGTGTTGCATGGAACTTGGCACAATCGAATCCACTTATTGGAATAATTACCTGATTTAGCACTTAGAATACCCCAAAATGGAATCCCATTGCGCGGTTCTAATTTTTTTTTTTTAGCCATAAGGTGTATCTTGGAAGACATTAGAATAACCCGCTAAAAGGAATAAACTTTTCTGAAAGTTGAAAAAAAAATTTTAATCGTTGAGAAACAAAATGTTTATTTTTCACTTTTCCACGTTCACGAAAAGTCCCCACCGACCTGTTACCCCAGCCCCACTCTCGCTTCATGGAATACATGGGTCACGAGCAGCTGTCCCATCACATCTTTAACAAGTTCACTGGTGGCGAAAAAT